TGCTGCCTCAAACTGAGCTGCGGGAGTCACTGAGCCTCTCGAAAGCAGATGAGGGGCCAGATTGCACGCAGGCTCCCTGAGCATCTTGTGTGCCATTTAACTAGAGCATTTCCAAGCTGGTGGGCTGCAGGAGTCTCTTGAAAGAATTTGGAGTTAATCTTCTTTAAGAGTTTGCTGCCCTGCCCTACAGAGATTAAAGAGTGGGAGAAATGTCTGAACCTCATGTTTGAACCCAAGCCCCAGCTCCTGAGTTCTTCCCACGACCGACCAAAGTGAGGGATACATCAAGAGAAGGGTTTGATCCTTGTTTGCTCCACAGGAAGGAGCAGTCCTCAGCACAGCACAGTAAAAAAGCTGCTTTAGCTGATGAACAGAAGGAAATACCGCAGCGATCTCCATTTTCCACGGGTGCTGAGCCCCGGGCAGGGCTGCGCCGAGGGTCGCAGAAGCAGCAGGGACCTCTCCCCAGCGCCTCACCTGATGCAGTGCAGTTAATCCATCTTCATTGCACAGGTCCGGGCTGATGTTGCTCTTCAGCAAGTAACACACTGCAAGGGCAAACGAGAAGAAGAAAGAGGAGAAGAGAGGTCAATAACCCCAGTGCACCTCAGGTGTTCAGAGAGCCCTGGCCACTGGCAGGCAAGATCTCCTGCCCCGGCAGGGCGTCCTGGCACTGAGTGCAGGAGCTGCCCTGCAGCTCGAGGCCAAGAGCCCCACCACAGCAGGGCACAGGAGCCTTCCCAATTTTACCCAGTAGAGAGCAGCAGCACACAATTTTCCCACCAACTTCATCCCTAACACAGACTTCGTTTTGACCTCTATCATTTTCATAATGCTGTGCCACAATTGAAATGTTTATCTTCTCATTTGCAACATCTTCAAATGCAGCTACAGCACAGGAGAGCTCCAAAGCACTCGGTGATTTTTAGGTCTCAAGCTACTGCTGTAAGAGCCAAGAGCGCACGCGGTGGGGGATAAGTCTTGCTTGAAGACATGACCGATCTGAGACCCAGATCCCAAACAATCCCAAACACGTAGTGTGGTCAGAGGCCTGGTACACCTAAACTATGCCAGGGTTGTGTTGGGTGCTTCATATCAGCTGCTGGGAATATGAAGAAAACCATCTGCCCCCAGGTAAAACATGTGGGATACAGATTTTGCACAAAGTAATAGCAATAAGACTAGAGACAAAGTAATCTAATATCAACACCATGAATGCTGAATGAATCCAACATTACAGACAGATTTTGCTTCTTTATACCTGCCTTCTATTGGTTACATTCTCATTCCCTGTTTTTTCCTCCAGAGATCTCACTACCTAGAATGCTCTCAGCTCCAACATCATCCGTGCAGAGCCAGAGGTTCACGAGTGTTTCTGGAGGGCCAGCAGAGCAGCAGATACTCAAGACCCATCTTATTTGTGGGCAATGATGCAACCATTAAGAGAAACCAGAGCCGCAAAATAAAGAATGCTAATGAGGCTAAAAGGGCAATAAATATTTTTAGAGTTTGTGATCAAAGACTGCAATGCTGGTCACCCACAAAGCACCCTACATTTTGCTTTTACTAGATAAAACCTGTATATATATTGAAAAAAAAAAAACAGAATAAGACAGAGGTAAATCCCCCTCACCATGTCAGTCAGCAGCAGCAAAGTTTTTTCCAGCGAGGAAGACCAGTGCGTGTCCTCCTAATAGGAGCCGACTGATGGGCACATCATTCACCAGCGGATCTGCTTTCCTGTTATTTACTTTGCATGCTCTGCCATTAGGGGCTTAATTCAATCTCAGTCATTTAAGAGCCATTGTGCACTGACGACACGCAGCTCCATAACCATGTTTTGCCCAATTATGGAGATTTGGACAAGTAGATGCTGGCAAACTACCCTCACGAATGCAGTCCCTCCATGGGGAGAAGCAGCAGCATAAATTCCAGCTTGTTATGGACTATCCACATTTCCCCTTGCATCTTCCAGAAGGTTGAGCCCCTGAAGCTACGACTGCTCAGTACCTTTTATCCTTAGGCTTCAGGATAAGGGATGGTATTCCTGAATTGCAGAAGGCAACCTGTGTTCCTGTCTGTTTAGGAACGCTGCCCACCACCTGGATCAAACCCTACCATCCTTGCATGAGGGCCAGGCAGAACAAGTCTTCTCTTCTGATGAAATATGGGAGAAATGCACATTTGTGCATTTGCTAGTCGCTGAGAACAAGAAAGGGGGTCACAGGCGCAAAGTTCTGCAGTGCAAAACGATGGCAGAGCAAGTAAAATGCAGCAGCGTTGGCAGCAGATCTGCTCAGCTGCTTAAAAGTCCAACGGAAGAGACCAAGGAAGCAGATGAATCCATCAATACCAACTGGTCAAAAAGTTCACGCGTGATGGAGGTATCTTCCACCAGAGCTGGATGGTTAAACCAAAGTAACACTCATTTCTTTGCTCACATGGATGGTAGACAAGGTTTGCTCATAACTGAGGTTTCCACGAGCTTTGTAACGAAGAAGGAAGAGAGCCCAAGATAGCGCATGGATACGGACCCTACAGAAGGGGCTTTTATGGGTTATATTTCAGAGCACAGCAGCAACAGCCTCCACTTTAACACTTCTGATTAACTTCTTAGAGCTCAGCCCCTACCTAAAGCGCTTGAGCTCTTTGAAACCTTCCTCGCGCGTAGGCGGCACAAGGGGCTGGATGCCTGGATACACTTCATGACATGTCAAGAGCGAGTTGTGGGAAGCAGGTTCTAACGCAGAGCAAATGACGGAATGAAAATGATTACAATGAGAGCTGGGTGAACAAATTGTTGTGAATAATTCATTGCAAATTATATTAACTGAACGATCCTTCAAATGTATTTTCCATTATTCTGCTTGCTCTGCCTATAATTGAACTGCACACACACCAAGATGGTGCACATCAATCTTTGATTTATATTTTATCATTTATATCTGGGTTGTGTTAAAATGGAAAAAGCTCCCATGACAGCTGCGAAAACACATCCTAAAATGACCACGTTTTATCAGTCACAAGCCCTTGGGCAGCCCGAAGTGATTCTCCTCCTTGTCCACCAAACCAACCTACTCCAGAGGGGATCTCTTCCTTCCCAGTCATGTCCAATCTCACTTATTTTCCCTAAAACCCTAAAATTAGGGTGAAAACAAAGGAGCTACCACAAAGGTCTCAAGAAAGATTGAGAAAGAGACAGTCAGGTCTCTCACTCAAAGAGGGATTACAGCAGCGTCATTTTTCACCTGTGTTACCTCACGCCACATTTATATTGGACACAGCTCTTCCAAAAAGCCTCCTAAACCCCTAAACCTCCTGAACCAGATGAAAATACTTTTTTTTTTTTTTTTTTTTTAGGGGAGGGGGGGAATGGGTAAGAATGCCTTTGCCAGTGTAATTCCTCCTTTATAAAAAAAAGCAACACCATAACATTCTAGATACGATTACACTCCCATCTGTACCCGCTTTTGCATACCTTAAGTATTACTAGCTCATAAGAGGG